AGTGGTCTAACGAGTTTACAAGGTGAGAAATCTGGTCAACAATGCTCTCTCCTCGATCACATATCCCAAACATTGGAGAAAAATAAGAAAAACGCACTTCTGCGGGCTCCACGGCCGCGAAGGAGAAGCTCCGCGGCCGCGACTCTTCCCGAGGCCGCAACTCTTCTGGCGCAGAAGCAGTTCGCGGTGGCGGAGGTACCTCGCGGCCCGCGGTGAACAAAATTGGGCTGCAGTGCGCGGCTTTACATTTTGGGCTCGTTTGGGCTCATCCGAACTCGGAATTGAGTTCCGTTATTTCTTACGCATCGCTAACGATCCCCTCTATCCAATGATGCTTGAATTACCAATTTATTGTTGAAATCCAATTCCCTAAAAGCTTATGACCAGCACACTAAAGACGGGCTTCGTGCGACTTCGCGTTTTGGGCCGGTTTAGACTCGTCCAAGCTCGAAATTGAGCTTCTCTTCTTCCTATATATCGCCAACGAACCCGTCTACAGAACCATGATTGCCCGTTCAATTTTCGGGCAAAATATCTTCCTCGCGGGACTTCCGACGTGCACACCAGAAACAAGAAGAAAAACCGAAAAAACACACAAAAAACACATAGAAGACCAAAATAGAGTAAAACACACAATAAACTACAAAAAAATATCAAAAATCAACGAAAAGATCTAAAACGGGGGAAAAAGAATGACAAAACAACAACGAAAAACACAACAAAAATTGTACAAATAGATAAGTAAAGAGAAGATGATAGATTTATTAAGATAATTAATAATTCAAAGTGATTAAGGAACAAGTATTACAAATTGAGCAAAAGACTTAGAATATATTTGCTTAAATATTTTGTTGCTTGAGGAGAGTCGAACCTCCGCCAGCTACGAGCATTCCAACACTTGAATTATCAGCTTATCAGGTGGGGACCTCATACTGTGTATTTCATTGTCTACAATCGCGTTACCATGTCTAAGGTATGTGTAAGTTTTTCCCCTAATGAGGGAAATGGCCTACAAGTTTAGGTCCTTCCAGTTAAATCGTCTGGATGGAGGTCATTTGTTATTAATCCAGGTTCTGGTGGAGCCCCAGTGTGCTTAAATTATCCCATCAAAGTGTGCACATGATTTTCCGGCCAAGTGTCCAAGAGATAGTAAGAGTTCAGTTAGATGCATATATGCCAAGGTCACGATATTGTTATTATGGTTGATGTATATTCAATATTGGTTTCGGCGGAGAACGTGGACTTTATGCTCACTCCCGCACTATCTATTTCTTTTAGGTGGTGGAGTCCAACGTGGCATGTGAGTGAGCTTGGTGGTTGTGGTCTAGAGCTAATGGATATTTTGAAAAACACATTATGATGTCATGTTATATTTGAACATGTCTTGCAAACTATGTGTGTTTGAACATTTTTATCTTCCGCATTATGAGACTATGAGACACTAGACTATGCATGATTAATTTCAGTAATTCCAGTATTTCCATAATACTTTATTCTGGGAGTGGGATATTATTTGGTTTGGATGCATGCATGTTGATTATTTGTCGAATTAAAGAATGAGAAAAATAAGTGAGTAAGTTAAGTAGCATTCCGCGAGAAAGATAAAGTATTTTCGAAAATAAAGCGCAAAAATTTTACTCTGATTTTCAGAAGTCCGGTAGTAAGTAGGCGGGGTGTTACAGTTTAGTATCAGAGCCCAGTTAGCTGTTCTGTATACTTAAAAATTAAAAAAGTGACCACACCACGCTCACGCCACGCAAAAATTCATGACTAAGTTTCCAATTATTTTTTGTATTTTAAACATGAAATTTTAAAATAAAGTTGAATATGATTGAAGAAGTGTAGAATATAAAAACATTAACTGCTATTATTTGAATGTTTTGTTCTTGAATAAAACAAATACGCACAAATTATTAAAAAACAAGCTATATATCCAAATTTGAACAATTTTAATACATATTAAATAAAAATAATGAGAATTAAGTTTTGGGATTCTCAAAATCCTAACCTTCGTAATAACTACTTATGAAATACCTTCGATATTTATAGATAAATATATAATAGTTGAAATTTACTTAAAAATCTCCAAAATAGTGAATCAAATCAACATTTCTTATTATTTAGAATAAAAAAATGAATATATCCCATAATACTATTCGGATTCTCAAACCTCAGCAATAAAAAATAAGTTAAAACGTAGATAAAATTTTGGAATATTCATTAAAATTTAACATTTTTTTTTAATAATATTGGTTTTCAAAAACAAGTATATACAAAAGTGAAGTAGGGATTCTGAAATTTAGACCATCAAAAGCAGTTAGACATGTCAATCTAAAATTTTACAAAAAAATAAAATTGGATTAAAAAAAATAAGAAGATCAACTATAAGGTATTCTCATAATCCCAAACATCCTTTTTATTATGTATGTTTAAAAGAAAGAACATATAGGAGAAATTCCAGTTACCTAATCGTAGATTATGAGAGTTCAAACTGTCTGCTGCTGCTAAGGCAGTCGCAGGAGAAGCGTTGAAGAAGCTGTAGTTTAAGGCATTGATCGATTTCTCCTGATCTACGACCAAACAAACGAAGCGAAGCGCAGATTTGACTTCATTTCGCTTCGCTTCATTCGTTGGATCGACAAAGTTGACCTCGACTCCAAGGTTTTAAAGAATCTCGACGCGAAAGGAGAGGGACCACGAGAATTAAAAGTAGTGCCGGACGCTTTCTCCTCTGTCAAGAATTATGGTATGACAATAAGTTAAAACAATAAGAAAAAAACTATCCCAAATTAACATAGGGATTCTCAAATCTTAATAATCGAAAAGTTAGAATTATAAAAGAAATAGTATCTCCCAATATATTGTTGGATTCTAAAATCTCAAAAAGTTTATAATTGTTAAACATTTGAAATGATTAGTCTTAACATATCGGATTAATAAATATAACGACATAAAAAATTTTGAGAACCTAAATTCATAACATTCTTTTTTACGATTTTTTCTTAAATAATATATTTAAGAGATAAAGACATAATATTATTGGAATAATTTTTATAACCACCANAGCTCACATTCATGGTCAAATTAAATGCAATACTCATCACAGAAAAAAAAAGAAAAAAAAAATAACGTTTAAAATAAAGTCATGGATCAACTTTTGGCCTAATCAAGGATCTTAAAAGAAATACAAGGGTCATCTTGAAACTTCCAGCAACATCTTTAATATGACATTTGATGCCTCTTATCGAAATTATTTGGAAATGGTACTTTTCCACGATATTGAGGTTAATATTGTTCATTATGTGATTTAATAATAGTTGTCAATACTTATGATTTTTTTTTTTTTCCAAAATTTTATTTTTGTATGGAGATTTTTATAGGGTAGCCATATAGCTCGGCTGATTCGTAGCGTTAATATTCCAAAGATGGGTGACAAGTTTGAGGAGGGCGGGCATATGTCATTCGTAATTATCAATTAAAAAGTAACATTGTTAAATAACGATGTACCATCGCAAAGTTCAAATTCATTATTCATGTGAAGACCAAAGTGTTGGAGTATCCTACCGATTCCTCAACATTTTGTTTTGACTTCAATAATTTTGCTACTCTGCAAGCAAATAGTTATGTTTTTAATTTTATTTTCAGATATATATATGTAGACATATATGTGGTTGTGTTTTATTCTGATTCTCATGTTATGTTGTTAGCGTATATCCCATTATCTAATATTACAATCACTATTGAATATTGCTTCCTTGCACATCGCACGGGTTATGCGCTAGTATATTTTAATTGAAAATATAAAAATTATTAACTAAATTTGTTTACCAAGTCTATTATATGATCTTGTTTTAAAAAAATTATACAATAGGTTGGTTTAATATATATTGCATATAAAAAAATTTATATATACTTTTATAAATAATAATTTTTATTATATAATATATCCAAATTGAAAACTAAAAAAATATTAACTAAATTTATTTATCAAGTCTACTATGATATGAGTTGGAAAAATTAATTAAAATCGGTCTATCTGATATTATATTGCCTATACAAAAAAATAATAACTATCTTTATAAATAAAAATAAATTCATAAATATATCCTAATTGAAAAATATTAATTGTTAATTAAATTTATTTATCAACTTTATTATATGATATGAGTTAAGAAAATTATTACAATTAGAACATACAAATTTGGCATTTTAAATAACAAATAAAAATTTAAATGTTTTTTTTTATAATTATTCAAAAATTTAAATGAAAACGTTTATTTTTTAATATTTTAAGTATAAAATTTTTAATTGACTTACGTGTAATATATGGGTTTTGTAGCACATAATATACATATAGATAGATAGATAAAAGTGTTTGATGCACTCAATTTGATAATACAAGAAATAAAGATTGCAATATTTTGAAAATTAGGGGAAATAATTTTTGTTACAATCCAAAAGTTTCAAAAGTAATTTGGACAAATTGTAAAAAACTTGACGAAAAAAATGAATGATTGGGTGATTAAAGCAATTTAATTTTTATATTTTCACAAAGATTACATAAATCAAGCAAATTCGATTGTAAAAATAAAAAAGCTGCCACGACGTCGTTTTCGACGCTTCGATCTCTCCTTCCACCTATAAACTATGCGCTTCTGCAATTCACTCCTTCACAGTTTTAACTCCTCTCCACTCTTTGCTTTCATTCATATCTTTCAATCCCAAGAACCATGCAAGTTGGAAACATTTGTTGCTTAACACCCTAAAATGAGTTTAAATTTATCCAAGCCATTCGGCCGCCCGAACGAAAATAGGCCGATGGATGACACTAAAGATTTCGACGCATTTTGCAGGATAACCAATCTCTAGCCCCGGTAAATATATTCAGCAATCACGAGCTCACCGATCTTCGACTTTTTTTTTATCCCTTTTTTATTTTTTCAATAAAGCTCTGAGATCTTCGGTTGAATCAATAATCTTTGGTTCCAAACCCCATTTTCATGCCTTTGTCCCCACTCAACACCATGGATGAATTAATTGATATGATTTTTCATGTCAATCGCTCGGACATCGATTTGAACCAATCACTGTTAGACCGATTGGATGCTGCTCAGGAAATGGTCGAGGCCAGGCTGCGGCAGCTAGAGGCCACCGAGGAAAGACGGCGCCAGGAGCAAAACCCTACCGGAATCAGCCTTCTTCCCGACCAAACTCCGCCTAGCGTTGATAATGACCGATCTACCCTCGACGAAAACAAACCAGATGGTGCCCATTTGGTGGCAAAAGCCCTTGAAATGAACGCTGACGTCAGCAAGGCCGAGAATGACCGTGGCAGCTTTTACGACTGTAACATATGTCTGGACATGGCTAGTGACCCTATCTTGACTTGCTGTGGTCACTTGTTCTGCTGGCCCTGCTTCTTTCAGGTCGATAACATCAGCTCGACTTCCAAAGAGTGTCCGGTTTGTAAAGGAGAGGTTTCGGAAAATACCGTAACTCCAATTTACGGCAATGGTGGTGAAAGCGGACGAGTGGTTGAAACAGAGTCAGGCTTGAGAATTCCACCAAGGCCGAGAGCTCATAGAGTCGAGAGCATTAGGCAGCAGATAGTGACCCATAGCATTAACGATCTCGCCATTGAAGAAGCTATCAGGCAAATTAGGGCTAGTCTTGGAGCAACAGTTGGGCCTGAAATGCAAGGAAATGGCAGGGATAATGCGGATAATGAGTCGGGATTTTTACCTGAAAACGGGGATTCTCTTTCTTCACTTACCTCGGTTTTGAGTGGTGCGGATAGGTTGATTGAGGAGTTGGAGGCAGTTATTAACAGCCGGAGGTTGAGAGATGATGGGCAGGGTTCTGGTGGGCCCGAGCTTTTACCCATTGGCCATCCTTATTCTTTGAGAGGGAGAAGAAGAAGAAGAAGGATCATTGTTACAAGGGAATCTAGGAGGAGGAGATTGAACTGATGATTTCTTTCATTTTCTGTGAAAAGATGGTAATTTCGATTTTGTTGTGATGCACTAGAATTTGGTTTTGTGGTTTGACTGAATATTTTCGTAGCTTTACTTTACGTGTTAACGGATTTGGCAGGTGTGTGTGCTGATTCTGCTGATATGGTGCATTTGTGTAAAGAAAGCTGTGAGGTGGCGTGTTCCTTAGCGACCAATGGGCTTATAGACATGATCCATGCACTTTGGAACTTAGCTGATATGGTGTATTTATGATTTTTGTTGATATTGTGTTTAGCTGGATACCGGATATATGGTATACAATTACTCATACATACTATTTATAATAACTGATACATACTTAATAATAGTTCCCTTTTTTATTGGTGCTTTCTTATCGTTTTTCTTTTTAGTTATTTTGATTGTTCTTTCTTGTCCTCGAATTGCCTTAACCTAAATAGTTAAATGTTCCTTTTATACTAGACATTTGCTTCTGTTTGCGGTAGTTTATCTAGCCGTTGCATGTATGAGTAAGAAAAGAAACATTCCTAAACAGAAAGTTTCAATTCTGTAACAAGGTAATCTCAAAAGGGATATCTTAGTAATGTAATTATTTAAGAGGATTGATATGTTCCGTTAATCCTTGATGGTATTGAAAGTTACATCGAATGACCTTTTTTCCCATTTTGTTTTGGATATTAAAGCTGTTAAGAGGGAAGTAAAAGACGAGTTGACGTCAGAAACCCTAGATATATTGATGTGGCGGAGTTTATTTTTGGTATTACTTTATTAACGTTGTCAACTAAGAATTGGATAATGGAATGTCTATCTCTAAGTAAAGTGTTGGTGCTGATTCGCAACACTAATGTGGTGTACGTATTCTTTTCCGTACTTTGCTCGACTGAAATAACAGTTTGCCCTTAGAGGACTTGATGAGACACTCCTTAGACCAAAACTCTTCTTGATTAACATATTCATTTAATCAGGAAGGAGAATAGGGGAATTGTTATTCGAAGGATTATGCGAAGACTACAGTGCGAGAGAAATGAACGTAAGTTTTCATAATAACCTAATTTTTATCACTTAGGTTTGCATTTGGAGAGTTGGTTTTGAGGTTATGATGTCTTAGACCTGGAATTTAGATAGTTCCAAATGATTGTTACTCTAAACTTTGAGATAATATCTGAATAGTAGGGTCTGTTTTATTCTTGAATATTTGATTGGTAGAGTGATTGAGTAGTATCATTAGACTGATCACAACCCATGTCAGATATTGTCTGTAAATTACTGTTATGTAGTTTATACTCTAAGATCTGTTTGTCATTCAAGTTTATGCATTCTTGTTATTTAGTCTCTCCTAGTCCACGACTAATAAAATCTCAGAACAGATGCACGAGTATCTTCTTTTTCAAAGCCAATGACTATCTTAATTTGCACGTCATTCAGATTTTTTGGTCTGCTTCATTAAATAATCGGTCTTACCTTATGCACGCCGTGGGTCATATATGGTTGTCCTGATGGTTCTGTATTGATTCTTGTATATTTTATGAACTCGCACAATTGTTTTTGTTTTTGTTTTTGTTTTTTTTATGTGAATTAAATGTACAAATCTTGTCTGTTTTCACATAGCATATGATCAGGAACTGTTAATTCATCAAACAATCAACAGTGTCTATAAGTGTTGTCACTTTGTGTGCTTGTGCTAGTTGTTCAGTGATGGTGTCAATGTTCTTGCATGGTGGGATAGCTATCAGTTCCTCTTATTTTTCACGTTGTTCTATGTATGTTATGGGATCACCTGGAAATGAAGTTCATCTTAAAACTGGTGGACGGTGAAAATCAGTTCAAAAAACCGAAGAACCAATCATAAATTTTGTAATCTCTTTTACCATTTAAATATATATTCTTTCAACATAAATAAAGCACACACAGTTACCTAATTTAGATAGATATTATTCTAATTTTCTTTGATTTTCCATGCTAATTTTTTGTTTTGAATAACTCTTGTTGCGATCAAGGTTGGAATTAATATTGTTAACGAATCGAACAATTTGTGAACATAGCTTGGTTCGTCTCATGAAAGTTCGATATCGACTTGTTTGCTTATTAGCCGAGCTCGAGGAGCTAACCGGTCTCCTTTATTAATGGAGTTGAGCTGGGCTTGTTTATAAAACGAGCGAACTCGAACAGAAACTAGCTGACTCCAACATCTCTTGTTGGACAACAAATGAGTTGTAATTTGTGGATCATGAAGTTGCCTGGTGAATAATTAAACATGCATTTTTTTTATGCTAGTAAAGTGCACTTATGATATACGGATCCATGATTTATATTTGTTTTGTTTATTATTTTTCGTTTGCATTATTATTTTTAAATTAATCAAACAAAAGAGTACATTACATATGCATTGTGTCACAAGTATTAAAAATTAAAATATAATTTTTAAATAATGATAATTTGAAAGTCATGATAGAAAGAATACATGAAAAATTTGGTGAACAAACATTCATTTTCTAGGTTAATATTTTGAGTTTTCACTTAAATAGAGAAAGAAAGAGAATATTTTTTTTCATGTTAATTTTATACGTTCAGGTATTTTTATTATGAAAAAGTATATTAATTTTAAAACATTTTAAGTGTAAAGAAAAAGAAGCATATATGAAGTTCCATAATTATTTTTTAAAGATAATGTGTTTTACGTGAAAATTTATTAAAGATAATTTCTAATTTTTTTATTATTGAACATTGTTTTGATCTCCCACAATTCAAATATACGCAAAATGTGAATTGAATTTTAAATTTTAATGAAATGGTTTTTGCATTGGCCTTCATTCCAAGACTAGTACTGTGCAGTGCACGGGTAAGAGATATTAATTTATATTTATAAATTAAAAATTCTTATTAAGTAATATATCTAAATTAAAAATATGGAATCAATATATAATATAATTACCTACACTAATTTATTAAAAATGTTATACAAAGTTTAAATTGTACAAAATTAAATAAAAATATCTATTTAAAATTAGTATACAACCTGTGTGGTGCATATAACTAATAATAAATTACATTATATTCGTTTCAAAACAAGTATCATTTTATAATTACTATTTAGAAATTCGATTTGATTATAATGTGATTCCATAAAATAGTTATTTTGGTAAAATGTTATCATATATTTAACAACCTATGTGAATAATAAGTATAAGTATAAAATTTATATTGTTTCATTACTTAAAATTATTTATTTTGTATAAACTATTCAAATTAAAAAATTAAGTAGTTGAGTAATTTATTAAACTATAAATAATTGACTATTTCGTTTACGTTCAGGTTAATATTAACCCGTAAGTTATTGAGTACTTTATTAAACTATAAATAATTGACTATTTTGTTTACTTCTAAGTTAATATTGACCGGTAAGTTATGAATAATTATTTTTTATTTTTAATTTTAATTTTTTTTTCATTTATATACAAAATTTAAACCATTCAACTAATAAAGGTAATAACATTCTATTCTAAATTTAAATCATGCAACTAATAAAGGTAATAGCCGCAATATTTGACCAAAATGATTCTGTACATTAATTACATTAGTTTTTGCGGGATTTTTCAAATTTTGACAAAAATATTACTCAATATAGTAAACACTTTAGGTGGGAAACCAAATGTTTTTTTTTCCTGATTTTTAGTTGCTATTTCAAGTAAATATCATTGCCACTTTATTTATTAATAGATTTTAAAATGGATTTTGATAAGCTTGGTCAGAACGCATTTTGGTTTGATGAACTTAGTCGTAATTCACATATTTATCAAGTTATATGATTCTCAATTTTTAGCATATTCTCAAAATAAACTTATCATAGATATTTATCATAATTCGACAGATTGATATGTATTCATCTTGAAATCAAAAATTTTTTTGAACAAATGTTGGTAAATAAAATTCAAAATTTGTAATTTGAAAGTTTAATAGATTACTCAACTACTTAAATTTTTGATTTTGATAGTTTATGCAAAAATAAATTTATTTTAATTAATGATACAATGTAAGTTTTATAACTATACTTATTATTCACATAAATTTTTAAATATATGATAAATTTTACCAAAATAATTATTTTATGAAATCAAATTGTAGTCAAATCGAATTTCTGAATAAAAATTATAGAATGACACTTATTTTAAAATGAATATAATATAATTTATTATCAGTTACTTGCATAATACATGTTGTGTACTAATTTTTAATAAACATATTTTATATAACTTGCTCAATTTAAATTTCATATAATATTTTTAATATAGGTAAATTGTATTACATATTGATTCAATATTTTTAATTTATAAATATTATTCAATAAGTATTTTTATTTTATAAAATACTGTTGAGTATCTCTTGCACATGCACGAGATTCATACTAATAAATCATTCTTATAAATTACATCAAACTTTAATACACTATACATTCACTCACGTAATTTCAACTAATATTATTTTATATCATTTCTCTCCTAATTTTTTATCAATCGGTTTTTATTATTATTTTTAAATATTATATTAATAAAAATTCAAAATCTCGTTAATAATTAATCATATTATATTTTTCTAAATTAATAGTTGTTAAAAGAAAAAAAATAAAAAAAATAACATTTTGCCGATATATTTGTATCAAGCCGCCCTTAATATCCGATGTCTCTCTCACATCTTCACCCCCAAATTTCCAAACCTAGGTACCTTGTTCCTTATTTTCATGTCCCGTAACTCCAATTTTTCCCACCAAAGATAAAAATTACTTGGTTTTCCGTTTCATGATTTTCTGCTCTGCATCGCGATGTCTTTCGCGCGCAAAAGGGGCCGACTGGACGCGGTTTTTTCTGGGAACGGAGGCTTTAAAAGATCTAAAGAAGGTTAGTGTCTCGATCATGTTCGTTCTTTAAAGCTGGAATTCATTTATTTTTGGTTGTTTTGTCAGTAGCTCCAACTTATTTTAAACTGGAAGCACTCTTGTCTTGTTACATTGATTATTTCTAATATTTCCCCCTAATCTGGATCTGATTCGAGTTGCTCAGATTGGCGCTTGCCATCAGTTATGATTTTATGCATCTTATGAATTTGGGAGGGCATGTTGTGGTTTACCATGGGTATATTATAGATAAATTTCAGAATTCTTATACTTTTGCTTTTTTTTTTTTTTTGGGNGGTCATATGACTCATATCATGTTATGATATCGTATAACCACTTAGAGAAATATGATTTGACATGATATGTGTACAAACTTTCTAAAGAAAACCAGGTCATCGTTTTTCTCCATTTCCCACACAATTAGTGTTCAGTTTTCTTTCTAAAAGGTTTTTGAATGATTATTATATAAGTCTTGGAAGGAATATAAGATGATAGTAAGATCATTAAACATCTGAAATTACGTGAGGTGAGCTTCGTCAATCGCTAAGAGTGCAATATTTGATTATTCATCAAGTTGGATATAAAAGTCAACCGAAAGATCAACTGAAGAAGGAAACTAATTTTCTGATACAGAATTGGACTCCTTTACAACTGGTGTAGGAAGCAAATCAAAGCCATGCACCAAGTTTTTCAGGTTATAATCTAATCTATATAAAAAAAAAAATAAGCTTTCATTCTTGAACTAGATGTGTATCATGACAATAAGTCTGTACAAAAAACAACATATTTTGCTTATCATTTAATGCTAAGACTACCATCTTCACAGTATCACTAGACTTAGGTGTCTGGGGCAAAGAAATTTGCGAAAATTAAGTACTGAAAAATTCCTGCATTCTATTTATTCCTTGTGCAATGGATGCATAAAAAGCGATATGATTATTTTTTCAATTTTCTTGCTTTGCATCAACCTTGCAGCACTTCCGGGTGCACATTTGGCGACACGTGTCACTTTCTGCACTATTTCCCCGGTTACAGTGCCCATACGCAGCTCGCCAACTCTGTTGGTGAAAATCCCCATAATACCCTCCCGAGAAATTCATCCTTCTCCAATGACCCTCCATCAGCAACAAAAACGAACATTTGCAAAAGGATAAACACCCCAAGTGGGTGCCGGTATGGGGACAGGTGTCATTTTTCCCACGCCTCAGCTGAGCTCAGCGGGCCCCACAATTTGCAGGGGCCCCACATTAACTTTGGCGTGTCAGCAACTGCCAAAATTAGCGTGGATGCGAATTTTGCAGGGGCTATTATTGGGAAAAATGGGGCAAACACGAGGCAGATATGCCAGGAGACTGGGGTGAAGCTGTCGATAAGGGAGCACGAGTCGGACCCCAGCAAGAGGAACATCGAGCTCGAGGGCACGTTTGACCAGATTAAGGAGGCGAGTGGCATGGTGCGCGAGCTGCTCGTGAATGTAACTGCTGCTGCTAACGGCAGTCGTGTGGTGGGCCGAGAAGTTGGGCCGAGAAGTTTTAAGAAGAAGGTGTGTGAGAAGTTTTCGAGAGGGTTGTGCACTTTTGGGGAGAGGTGTCATTTTGCTCATTCCGCGTGAAATGCGACATTTTGCTCTTTCTTCTGTGTTTCTCCTCTGCATTATTAGTATGAGAGTTATATTAATGCTTCAACTAGGCAGGTTCTTTGTTAGTTGTTAATGGTGTGTTCAAAACTGTGAAGGAAAGGCAGGTCTGAGGATGAATAATCTGTCCCTTTTGTTTCTTTCTCAGTTAAAACATGAAAAAGAATCTTCAGCAACTGTTTTTCAAGTTATTCCGTGTTTCTAAAGGCTTTGCATCTAAAAATTTGATTATTTCTAGATCTTTGGATGTTTTCGACCTCAATCACCAAAAAATGGCTAGTTTTGTTAAAAATAAGATTACAAACTTTTTTTTTTTTTCCCCTCAAACATCAAATTTCAATAAAAACAAAACTCGAATGTACAATACTACCAACCAACGGTTGAAGTGAACCCTATCTCACAAGTCTTGACAAGGGCACAAAGAGGAGGAGGCTCAACATGAGCTCTCCTCAAGACCACCACAGTCTACACAGCAAGAACAGAAAACAAGAAAAACAAAGCAACTAAAACCAAACTAAGAATAAACACCAGGCAAGAAAACGACACAATGAAGCTAAACAACTAAAAGAAAAATATCTTCAGCTAAGACAAACATATCAAAATTAAAACAGATCCTATTTTGAAGCATTTGGAGAGCTTCTTGTCCTTCACAAGGATTTTAGCTTCCAGCCATCTTCCGAGACCAAGTAGTACAACTTCCACTGGATGTCTAACTAAACCATCCCCTCTTCTCGTCTGGTTGGCTGGTTTATGGGGTCTGTTCGACCTGATATGAGATTATATACTAACTTTTGGTCTTTGTAAATGATTGATTTATGGTTTTTTGTTATTGGTTTCAAAATTGCATTGCTTTCTGGTTCACGACTCATTTATGAATGGTTTTAGTATACTTTTATTTTAAATGTCGTTCTTAAAAAAAAAGTCAAGAAGTATAGTAAACATGTAAAAAGACCATTAATTAATTAATATTTAGTTGATACCATATATAAACTTTCGTGACCCACATAGTCCAATAAAATGTTTTGCTATGAAACAAGAAGAATGTAGACAAGGACGGTAAGCGTACATTGGGTGTGATTGATTATGAACTTAACCAATAAAAAACCAATCAAAATAAAAAATAATAAATTGAGGAAATTACACCCCCCACGACCCCACAGCATTTTTATTACATATAAACTACTCAACTATATTATTTAGCAAAAGTGCCTAACCTAACTATTTTATTTGTAATCCTACTAGCATCAGTTTCTTTGTTTTGAATTTTTAATTAAGGATGAGTTATGTTTTATTTGGATAGTGGCGGATTTAGTGGGATTTGGTTAAGAAGTTTAAAACAAATTTATTCCTTTCTCTCTCCTCCATTCATAGTTCTCATCCGAACTATTTTCTTCTTCACATCCTCTCATTTCCATGGACGACTACAAATCGCCAACCGCCTTTTCTTCTCCTTCGGCGTCTTTTTTATTTTCTTTTCCTTCTGCAAAAATAGACACTAAACAAGATTCTGATTTTTTTTCAAGGCGAATAAAATCGACATGGACGAGTTGAGTCTCGACGAGAACTTCGTTGAAAGTGAGAGATGGAGTTTCAAAATCCTGGTTGGCGGCCGCTGGTGAAGGAGCATTCAAGCCGGAGATGCGTTGGATCCCTACAGTTCTTTTTTGGGTGGACAGCAGCGACTTCAAGCGGCGTGCACAGAAGATAGTACAGCCCTTTTTCGGTGACGGAGGGTGAGTTGAGGAGGGAGGAATAGGTGGCGGGGTCGGGGGGCGTCCATGGCGGCGGAGGATAACGATTGAAGATAGATTTCCAATTCTCTTTCTCTGTCAGCCATTTTTTTATTTTTCCATTTTCCATTCACAGGGGTTGGAACTGCATATGAATGATCCAGTCCATCCCATGCCCAAACCAGTATATGTTACACAAAATATACTTTAAATATACACTCGAGTTTCAATCGTTTCTCAAATATACACAAAATATACTTTAAATATACACTCGAGTTTCATTCGTTTCTCAAAATCGATTTCAAAACCCACATATACATAAAATATACCTAAGATATACACTCGAGATCACATACATGAGACGAGCAGACACAAAATATACACAAAATATACTTTAAATATACACTCGAGTTTCAATCGTTTCTCAAAATCGATTTCAGAACCCACATATACATAAAATATACCTAAGATATACACTCGAGATCACGTACATGAGACGAGCAGACAAGAAGGTCTCAGGCGATGGTTGAGCAGGTTCAATTGGTTATCTTTTCTTAAATATGGAATATGAAATCAAGATCTGTAACTGATTTTTAGGCAACAATATAATTAATTACTAGCTATTAGGTACATACACAATTAATTGTGTATTAACGGTAATTTTGCAATATTCCTACAATCGTGTAGGATAAGTGAAAATGTCCCTAATAAATTAAATAACACAATAGGCCCATTTTTTTTTTATCAATAATTAGGCAAAAATGTACGTAGATTTCAGGTCATTCTTGGCCAACAACAACCCAGTCCATGAACTTGGGCAAAGCAAACTTTAGTACTGAGCTCGAAACAAGGAGCGCAGGGTGTTTAAACCGTAATGCCGACAGCTTCTGCACCATACAACAATAATAAACGATTAATAGAGAGAATAATGTTTTTAGCAATTGGTACACATAATTGTACCCAGCAAGTAAAAAAGGAAAAAAATAAAAAATATTCAAGACTTACGAAGACAGGAAGAGGACCAATGTTGACATAGGTTCGATAAAAGATGGTCAAAATAGAAGCCATTCTACAGATCGTATGCACCGTCCTCACTCTAAACATTCTCTTCTTTTCAAATCTGAATACAACAAATGAATTTATTATATACTATGCAGCCTGAGAGAATGCTTGCAAATTGAAAAGTAACTAATGAGTACCTTCTGAACGCTTGTGCTAATTCATCAGATGAAATTCCGGAAAAAGGGTTCGTTTCGACAAGTTTTCGCAGCTCGAGCATGAGCCAGTAACAATCCTGCACATTTTTCTTTTTAGTCAAATTTTGTTTTCAGGTAAATTATACTATTATGCAGTTTTAGTGCTAACACACTTCATTTTCTTCATCATATATTAATTACCAATCACGATGATTTCACAAAAATTGGATGCATAAATAATATAGACACACACACACACACCTCGATTGCCATGCTACCTCCTTGGCCAAGATTAGGTAGCATTGCATGAGCAGCATCGCCTAGCAATATCACACGCCCTTTTCCCCATGTGTTTAACATGTCGATATCGTGTATGGGCCTCCTTATGATCATGTGCTCTTGCGTGTTGACCAAAATCTCTATCACCTCATCGCACCATTTCCCGAAGTCTACTAATAACTTCTTCTTATTCCCTTAAGCATATAACCGGAAATATTTTAAACCAAGGTACATTACATAAAATAAAATACAAGGTAATACACAAGTTACATGATAATGTATTTTGGTAAGGAAAAAGAAATATATATACCATTGGGTGAAGGAAGAGAATCGCTTGCCTCTTTACCGAATGCGTACCACTGCATACGCCCGTTACCAATATCTAATGCGACAAAGTATTTGTTATGTCCTACGAATATCTTGTACCTGAGTTGAAACAAATCAAGAATAAAGAATAATCATGCATATATATTTTTTGTTTCAATTAATGTGTATCTATGTTATAGAATACAGATCGATATACCCAAAAGGAGGAAGATAGTCGGGATGGAATTCGGCTATGCCACTGTAGCATATAAAGTTAGAGTACTTTGGGTCTTTATGACCAAATAGTCTTGACCGCACCTGTACGTAAATGATCATCAAGTTTTGATTAGTTTGAACTTGAATTGTTTGCATAGTCAAAGTTATGGTTTATGAAAAGAAAGTTCAAATTTACAAAACCAGTGATCTCATGCCATCTGCCCCAATCAATACATCGCCTTGGTGCTCTTGTCCATTTTCAAGAATAACTGTCACCTATATGTATGTATGTATGTATAAGAGAGAGAGAGATAATTAATTACTTTATTTAAATTAATTAAGAAGAATGAATTGAGAAAAAAGAACAACATTTTCAAATAATAGATTTTTCTTAACAAAAATATTCATTCTTAACAAGAATGAACAGAGACCTTGTTGGGATGATCGACAAAGTCGACAACTTTGGAGTTGTTGATAACTAAGTCGTGGCCAAGTGCATCGAGAAGGAGCCTTTGCAAATCAATTCTGCATATTATTTGAGTGACTGGAATACCCTTCTTTAGAGCTGGGGTTAGGAAATCAAACTGTGTGAACCTGCAATTCATGCACACACCACATAACTCTCTTTTAATATTTTGCCTCATAACAAACTAGCACCTTTTTTTTATAAGATATTCTCTTTTGAATTGCTTTTTACATCTATCCAATCCTAATAAAATATTAAATAATTTTATAATTTGGCATCCACGTACTATTATTATATAATGAATAAATAAACATAAATATAAAAATAAAGTAAGTAAATATAAGTATAAATTATATTACAAGAGCAAAAAATACTTTGAAGAGAACAAAAAAAAATATTATTTTTACAAATAAAAGTAAAAAACAGTATTTTTATAATTTAGTGAGTTTTAATGAAGTTGTCTTTTGCTTATAACCTGTATTTTATCTTTAATTAAGTCGTACCTTTATTTCTTTTAGATTTTATTTTAATGTCTTTTTTACAATGAAATGTATAAAAATTAAATTAATTTTTTACTATTATAACCAAAAGGATGGTAAAACTTAGAAACAATATAATTGTTATTTGAAAATTACAATTAAAGTAAAAGGAAGAAATACAATTAAAGATGTAACCTCAAGTTCTTTCAACTTGTCCGACTACTTTTATATTATATATCGCCTGCCAAATTTAATGTCACGTAGGGTTCCATAACTTCCATTAATGAAACACTACTGCAAAAAATTGACAAAAAATTGGTATATTATATGACACACTAATTTTAATTATTTAATAACTATCACATCTTCATAAAATTCCGCAAAGAAAGTCATTTTATAGAAAAACAGTGTCCTGATTTCACTATTGAGAGCTTCCAGGTTTGTCAAAAAAATAGACTACGGAATAAATATTGTATTAGAAACTCCACCGCAGTTGAATTAAAGTCCAATTTGAGACTATTCCAAAAATGTCAACAAAAAGAAAAAAAAAAAAAAAAAAAAATCATGCAGGAATCAAAATTGACGTGCGAGGCAAAAATAAGGTGGTCTAAGTTGAATATGGAACTGGAAATTCCATGTAGAAATCAGACCGGCCAAACATTAGAGCACCCATAATGCTTTGAGTGTCTTTAAAAAAAATCATAAATAGACATAGTCTATTTAGTTTGAGGTTGTCCATGTCATTATAAACTTAAATCTATTTATTTGCCACATATACAAAAAAAAAAAGAAAAATTAAAACATTGTGGGTGCTCTTAGTTACCCGCAGTCAATAATTAGGGAGGAAGAAATACTTTTTATTTTATATATATTTTATCCTAAATAAATGTATGTAACAAGAAAAAAAATTAAAATATGAGGAGCCCTCCAGCTACCACTTAGAATAGATCCGTCACTGATAGGAAGTGTATTTTAAATTACTAATAAGTAATAACGTTTAGATAGGTTGAGTAAATGTTTACTAATCTATACTTATATTAAAGGGAGTCCTATTTACCAAATTTAGTAGCTAGAAAAGTCAACAATATTTATTGTCATTACTATTTCTGTATTATACAGTTTTATTTAATATTTGTTTTTCTATTGCGATTTTTAAAAACAGATATGGTCAAATTATCTCATCATTAATTACTTTCCATTAATTACAATTTATCTATTTATTATTTTCTTAGCAAAAACGGACAAACATTAATTGATTTTTTAAAATGTGGAAGTTGTTGCTTTATTTTTGTACAGAAAATCGGGCTTCATTATAGAAATTTGTTCAATTACACGATGAATTTTCTATGATATAATTATTTTTTATGGGAACTTTTTTTTTAACAGAAAAATATGGCATTTCAATAAGATTTTCGATTTTTTAAGACTGATCGTTATCATGATATGAAATTGAACATTCCAATATACCTTAACAAAATACACACGTGGTGTATACATCAGTTAATAGAAATATAGAATCCTCATATTTTTATATATACGTATGTAATTTTTCTATTACCAAATTTAATTGATAGTTGTTGTGTTATGGGTTTTTTCATAATTGTTACTTGGTTGTTGTGATATTTACTTTGATTGGTGTCGCAAAAATTCTAATCTATATATATAACAAGAATAATCATTACAATGCAAATTAGAAAAATATTGATATTAGAAGAGATTGAGTTCATGGCTTTTCTTAAATCAAAGTTGTTTAATTAGTATACAACTAAAAAAATATATGTGTATATTTTGTACATTATTTATACACTATATAATTTTAAATTTATTTACATATTTTAAATTGATTACTTATATAAATAATACCAACGTGTATTAAATATATTTCATTACATAAAATAAAAAGAACAAGAAGACGTGTAACTTGTATAACTTTATAAATAATAATGACATTATATGGGAACAGAGTTTAATAATTAACTATTATATAGTGAATAAGAATAAGTAAAATTGTTATTTTCTCGTATATCAAGGAATAAATATGTATAATAAAATTAAATTTATATTAGTGTAAATTTGTTAGTGGGATAATATATGAATTATTTTACAAGTTAGTCCTAACATGCTCACGTTTAATGTTCTGACTAATAAAACAACGTTGATTAAAAGATGTGAAAAATAGATTACAACCCTATTGTTTTAGACTTAACGGTGATTAAAAGAGATGGAAAATAGATGATAACTCTTTTCAGACTTAAACGAGACTTAACGGTGATTAAAATAGGTGGAAAATGGATAATAACCCTTCTCAGACTTAAACGGACAGTGCCTGTGAAAATAATTCATTTAATATCTCTCTCCCGTGCATCGCACGGGTTACGTACTAGTTAAAATTTTAAAAGCAGTGTACGTATTATATTACCCATCTATATCTATAAATAGGTTGTTGATATAATCTAAAATAATAATTTTGACTTTGTAATTAAATTAGTTTACCTTTCACTAAAAGAAATATAGTAAAAATTACTTTGATATATTTGAAAAAACAATAAAAATCGTGCAATTCGGTTAATAACATGACTTTCTATATAAATTAAGTGGTATCGAATTTGAACATTATTTCATGATAATTATTTCAATAACATTCGATTCTTTATATTAATTATGAATCGCTGCAATTTCTTAGTTTTAGCTAGGTAACCAACCATATACCGCGATTTTCTAAATGTTTTTAAAAAATGACTATTAAATAAAAATATTTTTTTAAACCAATTGTGTCGCTTGACATGAAAATTATTAGTTTAGTAAGAAAAGTATAAATATTTATAATATATATTGTTACAAATTATGATGAGAAACTAACGAATCATCTGTCGAATTATCCACGTAAATGATTAACTTAGAAAATTATAATGTATATTGTTCTAAATTATAATGATAAATTAACAAGTGATCTATCGAACAACAATGTAAATTGTTAGCTTAGAAAAAAAAAAGAATATTTAAAATATATATTGTTATTAATTATAAGGATAAGTAGTCGATGTGGAACTGCCATATAAATTATTAGATTATAAAGAAAATTTAAAATACTTATAATATACATCATTATAAATTATATAAAAAAAACAATATTGAGGAAATTAAAATCTACTAAATTTTTTAGCTTAAAATTAAATATATATTAAAGTGTTTTTCAATTAATTATTGGTTATAATATTTTTCACAATTTTTTAATTTTACTATAACTTATTTTGAAATTTAAATATCGTAATAACGTATGAGTAAGGAAATATAGAGAGAGAGAAGTATTCTACGTATATTATCTATTGATAATATTTGAATATATTAAGTATCATTATTTTAATTCTAAACAAGAACTCTAAAACGACAACTATTTTATAAATTCGGTGAGATAAACATATAAATCATTATGTTAAATTATTATATACCATAAAATAAAAGAAAAAAAATATTAATATTTAAAACTATTTTTATACTAATCAATATTCTTTCATGGTTTTGATATATGCAATTTAAAATTATTGTCCCTTGCATCGCACGGGTTACGTACCAGATTAGTATTATTATTATTTTCCATAGCATCCAATGCTAGATCTCTTTAATTAATTTCCTGCCTGCCTACAATTAATTAACCTTACATAAAAATAATTATTTAAAACATTAAAAATAAAAAAAAATTAATACCAGTTGCCAGTGGTGCCGTCTGCTAGGCCATTAGTCCTATTACCAGTTACATAACCAACCTCATTAATCTCCCTCACCACATCTTTATCAATTTTTTCCAACAGCCCCAAAGCAGTGCTCAGCAACTGTATTGGACCACGGTCACGACCTTCTCCTCTCACCGCCGTCAAATCCTTCTCGAAAACCGCTACCTCAAATCCACTCCTTTTGGCCGCCACCGCAAAAACGAGCCCTGCAATCCCTCCTCCGGCTATCAAAACCTTCAGTTTTTTGCTACAATTATCATCACACCTCACCATTACTGACCGCTTGCTATTATTATTCGGGATTTTTCCCGAAAACCCCTGAGATTTGGCCGGAAAATTGAGCGTCATTTGAAATGAAGCCATGTATATGTTTTAAAACTAATTAGACAAAATTGGTGATTATATGTTGTTCTTCAAATGTTGCAATGTGGGACGTGAAGTTCTTGAGACAATGCAAACTTCTATTTATAATTTTATATATCACGTTCACATTAGTGGAAGAGAGAGAGGGAAGAAAATTTCAATTGCTACATGTCTCAGGAGGTTTGACACGGATTAATTAAATTAATTAATGAAATTTCCACAATGTCTTGGGCAACTACAATCTAATATATAATATTATTTCAGAGAGAAGACCGTCCATATCACGTTACAACGAATAATATACATAGATCTATTAGAAAGATATCAACGAAACAAAATCGATCAGGTACCATTTTTAGACTAGAAAGATATCAACGAAACAAATTTTTCCAACGGTCAACTTTTTGGTGTTTTCACAATTCAATGTATAAGAAATTATAGTGTTTTATTTTTAATCTTAGGTCCATTTATGATATTTCAGAATAATTCATCATATAGCTTGGATTTTTATTATACTATGAAAAAATTACAACCTACTTGTCAACTTTAAATTAAAAATGTATTTTAAAATTAATATTTTTTTTTATTATTTTCATCAGTTATATGTTATATTAAATTAATTATCTTTTGGTGGCATTTGATTTTCACATTAATTATCAATCAAGACTAACTACAAAGCAATAAACTTATTATTTAAAAAATAAATGAATTTATCTATCAAAGATTCTTTATTATCCAATTACTGCCTCTAGACATGCTCTTGTAGTCACAGAGATGTCCAGTAGCGGAGATGTCTAGTAGCGGAGACCTCTAGTCACGGAGACGTCTAGTAGAGAAGACATCTGCCTCTCGACCTCTAGCAGGTCTAGCAGGTCGAGATGAGTCTAGCAAGTGGAGATGACCTCTGGCAAGTCTAGCAGGTCGAGACGAGTCTAGCAAGTCGAGATGACCTCTGGCAAGTCTAGAGGTCGAGATGACCTCTCGCAAGTCTAGTAGGTCGAGATGACCTCTCGCAAATCTAGCAAGTCGAGATGACCTCTAGCAGGTCTAGCAGGTCGAGACGAGTCTAGCAAGTCGAGATGACCTCTGGCAAGTCTAGCAGGTCGAGATGACCTCTCACAAGTCTAGTAGGTCGAGATGACCTCTCGCAAGTCTAGCAAGACGAGATTACCTCTAGCAGGTCTAGCACGTCAAGATGACCTCTACTTATCTTCTTAGAGCAGGTCGACCTTCTCATACTCAATCACAGAGAGCATGTCTACTTCACATACTTAGTCGTGTGGAGCTTCTCATACTCAGTCACAGAGAGCATGTCTACTTCTCATACTTAGTCATGTGGAGCTTCTCATACTCAGTCATAGAGAGCATGTCTACTTCCCATACTTAGTCGTGTGGAGCTTCTCATACTCAGTCACAGAGAGCATGTCTACTTCTCATACTTAGTCGTGTGCAGCTTCTCATACTCAGTCACAGAGAGAATGTCTACTTCCCATACTTAGTCATGTGGAGCTTCTCATACTCAGTCACAGAGATCATGTCTACTTCTCATGCTTAGTCGTGTGGAGCTTCTCATACTCAGTCACAGGGAGCATGTCTACTTCCCATACTTAGTCGTGTGGAGCTTCTCATACTCAGTCACAGAGACCTTCAAGTCTCGTCTAGACCTCCTCAGGTCGCTCTTCTTCGACTTCACTTGGACCTCTTCGTACTTGGCTCCGGTTCACAAGTATGGCTATATCAAAGTCCATGCCGCCTTACTGAGTATTGGGCCATATAAAGCTCCAGGAATCAATGGGTTTCAAGCTATTTTTTATAAAACACATGGGGAGATCCTTAAGCCATATCTTCTCTCAGTCTGTTTTAAAATTCTCAATCAGGAAGGCTTTTTTGAGGGCTTCAATGATACAATCATCATCTTGATTCCGAAGAAGTAAAAACCCGATATGATTACAGATTTTTGGCCCATAAGTTTATGCACGGTTATTTACAAAATAATATTGAAAGTTGTGGCGGCAAGGTTAAAAAGAGTCCTTGGCCCTATTATATCAGTGAATCAAAGTGCTTTTGTTTCTAATCGGCTCATAACGGACAATGCAATCCTTGCTTTTGAAACGATGTACTCTATGCCAAAAAAACGCAAAGGAAATTCTCACTTGATGGCCCTAAAATTAGACATGAGTAAAGCGTATGACCGAGTTGAGTGGGATTTTGTTGCCTCGATGCTCTTTAAAAAAGGGTTCCCTCCTCGATTCCGTCATCTGATATGACAATGCGTTTCGACAATGAACTTCACTTTTCGAATAAATGGCTAAAATGTGGGAAATGTCAGACCTTCTCGCGGACTTCGACAAGGGTGCTCTTTATCGCCATATCTATTTATCCTTTGCGCAGAAGGGCTATCGACATCTCTTATCAAAGCTGAAACGGAAAAATCTTTTACGAGATTCAAATGTAGCAGACTTGGACCCTCGATTTCCCATCTATTTTTTGCAGACGACTCAATCATTTTTTCAAAGGCTAATTCGGGTGAGATATCGACCATTGTTCAGATTTTGAGAATCTATGAAGCGGCTTCAGGTCAAAAGGTTAACTTGGAAAAATCTGCAATTTCCTTCACTCCTAATACTCCTCTTAATGTGCGACTAGCTTTATGATCGACTTTGGGACTCCATTCCCCTTCCTCTCGCAGTACTTATTTGGGTCTCCCATCTCTGATTGGCCGAAACAAAATTCGACCCTTTGCGACTATTCAGGAGAATATTTGGAAGCGACTCCATTCTTGGCGGCGTAATATTTTTTCTTCAGCGGGGAGTGAAATTCTAATCAAAACGGTGGTGAAATCTATTCCCACTTACATTATGAGTTTACTTCGGATTCCAAAACTGATTTTCGACCAATTGAAGAAAATAGTTGCCCAATTTTGGTGGGGGTCTCGAGAGGGTGAACAAAAACTTATGTGGGTGAAATAGAGCAGACTAACGTTATCGAAGAAACAAGGTGGATTGGGTTTCCGAGATTTCACTATTTTCAACCAAGCTTTGTTGGGGAAACAAGCTTGGAGAGTGCTATCGTCACCGGATTCTCTAGCGTCTAGAGTTCTCAAAGCCAAATATTTTCCTTCGTGTCAGTTTCTGGAGGCTACAATCCGTCCGAGTTCTTCCTACATCTGGAGAAGTCTAGTGTGGGGTCGCGAAGTTATTCAAGCTGGCATGCGTTGGAGAGTAGGAGACGACAAGTCAATATGAATTTTCCCGGACCCTTGGATTCCCCACTTTCAGGGATTTCAGCCTATATCACACATTTCTTTGAGCATTGATAGAGCTAGCGACCTCATTGGGCGGAATTGGGATTGAAATCACGATCTGATCAACCGAGTTTTTTTGTCGATAGATTCGCTTAAAATTTTCTCAATCCCTCTTAGCCTGTCTGGTAACCCTGATCGAATCACTTGTCACCATTCAAAAAATGGGGATTACACGGTGAAGAGTGGCTATCATTTGGTTAAGCAACGATCATATGTCCCCTTGGAATCATCATCATCATAAAAAAAACCGGTGGTGGAATGCTTTGTGGAAATTGAATATTTTACCCAAAATCAAAATGTTTGTATGGAAGATGTGCAATTCGGCAATTCCTACAGCGGAAAATCTAGCCAGAAGACACATCGGGGTGGTTGCAAAGTGTCCCAAATGTTCTGGATGGGAATCCAATGTTCATACTTTTTTTGATTGTTTTTTGTCTAAGAAGTTGTGGAAAATTTCAGGGTGGTGGGATACAATCGCTCCTTTACGAGGTTCGAGTTTCTCTGTTATTTTCTGTGACATTCTAGAAAGTGTCGTGGGGATGATTTTCCAAGCTTTGCTTCTTTATTGTGGATTATTTGGCATGAACGGAACTGTATCAAACACGGTTTGAAAGTCAAAACAGTGGAGCAAGCATGGACAGCTGGACTTGCATGGCAAGAGGAAGCTAATAAAGTGCGACCGGTGTGCTACATGTTAGAACATGCGTTGCTCGCATCAACTATCGAAAGGCGGGTTGGTTCTGGGAATTGTTACAATGAACTTACATTATTTTGTGATGCCGCGGTCCGGGATTCGGCTATTGGATTAGGAGGTTAGATAGGCGACTCGGAAGACTTGTGTTGGGCGCCTTTTGAAACTTGCATTCCAGGTTCGTTTTCTTTAGTTTCAGCCGAAGCTCTAGCTCTCAGGTTTGGACTACGTTTTGCTCATATTTCGGGTATTTCAATTCAATATGATAAAACGGATGCCTTGGCATTTATTTATGGGTTGTCGGAGCTCTTGCCATATGATAGCTTGTATCAAGTTTTTGTGGACATTTTATCTCTTTTGTCTAATCTTAATTGTGAATCTTGTAGTCATATATGTGAGAAGAGAAAAAATATATGATTTCTTGAATTAACATAGGGCTATATACATGTATATAAAGACATAAGATGTTGGGCCTATAAACCTAATCCTACAATACATAGTACAACAATTATAACTAACACCCCCCCTGAAACTCAAAGTGGTATAGTGGAGATCAACTTGAGTTTGCTAAGATATAAACAAAAATGACCGGGAATGAGAGACTTCGTGAAGACATTAGCTGGTTGATCCGTAGAGGAGACGGAAACAAGCTACACAGTCCCATGTGCAACATGTTGTCGAATGAAGTGACAGTCAATCTCAATATGCTTGGTGTGCTCATGAAAGGTATCATTATGAGACATCTTTATAACACTCTGACTATCACAATGTAGATCAGTAGACGACGACTGAGGCGCACCAAGATCAGCAAGTAGCCGACGCAACCATAATAGCTCAAAGGTGGAATCAGCAAGGGCACGATACTCAGACTCAACACTCGACCAAGAAACTAGTGTTTGCTTCTTACTGCGCCAAGAGACGAGTGAATCACCCAGAAAGAAGCAGTACCCAGTAATGGAACAACGATCAGTAGGATATCCAACCCAATCTGCATCAGAATAGCCGCTAAGTGTCAAGGAAGAACGGGCCGAGAAGTGTAAACCATGCAATAGAGTGCCCTTCACATAGTGAAGAAT